CTGCACAAGTAACACAGTACCCTCTTCGCAGCATCCCAGTGCACCTTTCGGTGTCTATCGGGAGCCACGTAGCGAGCCAAGAGGCTGAGAGGGTATGCGAGGCCAGGTCGTGTGCACGTCATCAGGTACATGAGGCAACCCACAAGCTCTGGGTACGGACCACTTGGCTCTACGGACTCGTCCAAAGGTGGAGCTGAGAGCGAGTAGCCGGTAGACAGAGGAGTGGGCTGTGGCGAGGAGTACTGGAAGCCAAAGCGCCGAAGGACCTGGTGCAACATGTGTGACTGAGTCAGGGTGATGGTGCGCCGTGCTTTGTCTCGGGTGATCTGCAAGCCAAGATAGCAACGCAGCTCACCCAGGTCAGTGCAGGTGTGTCTCTCCTGCACCTCCAGCACTAGCTGTACCTCCAGGACTAGCAGCTCCTGCACCTCCAGCACCAGTAGCACCTCCAGGACTAGTAGCTCCAGCACCTCCAGCACCAGCAGCACCTCTAGTACCTCCAGGACTAGAAGCTCCAGCACCTCCAGCACCAGCAGCACCTCTAGTACCTCCAGGACTAGCAGTTCCAGCACCTCCACCACCAGAAGCACCTCTAGATCTAGTAGCTTCGGCACCTCCAGCACCAGCAGCACCTCCAGTACCTCTAGCACCAGCAGCACCTCTAGTACCTCCAGCACCAGCAGCTCCAAAAGCGGTAACACCGCAACCTCCACCACCAGGACGGCCTCGCTGAACGATGCACTCACGAATCTGCTGCGTCGAGAGCGTCTCAAGTCGACTAGGATGTCCAACTCCAGGACCTCCAGTAGGGTCACCCACGGCTCCACTGCCACTAGGACTCGCAGCACCCCCAGTGTCAGCACCCCCAGTCGCAGCACCCCCATGACTTGCACCCCCTATCTCAGCAACCCCAGAACCCGCACCCCCTGTCGCAGCACCCCCAGCACCCGCACCCCCTGTCTCAGCACCCCCAGAACCCGCACCACCAGTTTCACCACCAGGAGCAGCACCAGAGTCCACAGCAGCAGGCTGCGGAGGCGGCGAAGACGACCAAGGCGGAAAACCAGGGGGGGTCTCCAAGCCCGGAGAGCGGCGAGTGGCCGCCGTGTCGTCAGCGGCGGGGTCACCCCCCTCAGCTGGGCCAGAAGAGTCAGAAGAGATCTCCAAAGGCTCAACCAAAAGGGGGTGGGTCTACCTGAGACACACCTGAGGGAGCAGGACCCTGTGGGGGGAGGGGGTCTACCGGGGGGGGGACAAGTACTAGGAAGAGAGGCGCTAGGGGGACTGGGTGGGACGCGTGCGGGTGTAGCCTGTAGAAACAGACAGACTCGTCAAAGTTGACGTCCTGGGAGGAGAAGACTCGACGCGAGCGTGGGAGGTAGAACTGCCACGGCGGGGCAGGCGAGCGCGGGAGGGGGGGCAGGGACCTGGGAAGGCCAGAGACAAGGAGACGGGAGTGCATGCTACGGAGCCGCGGCAGCGAGGGGTGACCGAGGTGGTGGTGCCAGAGGAGAGTCTGGTGGGAGAGTAACCGACATGAGCAAGACGCTGCAAGCTGACCAGACGAAGACACTTGACTCAACGCAGTCGCCTGACCTGACGCAGTCACCTGTGCAGACTTAGTGGTCAGTGTGTACAGACCGGACCCAGGCTGACGAGTGAACGTAGCAAGGTGAAGGCCAGTCCGTGAGCACGTACAAATCGCCACACGCTATCCTCCAGGAATGACGGTATCAACCCATACATCCTGGAGAACTGCGTTGCTCAACAAGTTCGTCGAGAACGCGGGGAGGTGGAGACCTGAGAGAGACCCGAAGGGGACCGCCGGACAAGGGAGGACAGTGGAGGCTCGCGCGACTACTGGGCCCCCAGTGGGGTCAGCCAGTGAGACTGGGACAGGTGCTGCGAGTGGTGTGACTGTGGTGCAATCACGGAAGAAGCAACGTGACGCGCCAGAGTCAGGTGTGAAAGGCCTCAGCTGAGGCAGGACCTGTGGCTGTAGATGCACTAGCACCTAGAGCGGCGGCAGACTCATGAGCACCTAGAGCTGCAGCAGACTCACTTGCACCTAGAGCAGCAGCCTCCACACAACCAGGGATGCATCGCTGAGAAGCACAGTCACGAAGCCGCTGCAGGGAGAAGGTGCCATGCGGACGCTGCTGCCGCCGCTGTCCAGTACCCATAAAACCAAACCCTCCACCACCAGGACTGCCTCGCTGAATAACCAACTCACGAAGCTGCTGAGGGGTGGGGTTGTCCGGGAGAGGCAATGACTGCTGCTGTCCACCCCTAGTTGCTGCGACTACCGTGATAGTGGCCATGACAGGCAGTGACAGTCAGTAGCAGCACCTCCAGCACTTCCGGCAGCACCTCCAACACCTCCAACACTCCCAGCAGCACCTCCAGCACCAGCAGTAGTGCCAGTAGTTGCAGCAAGGGCGGCTCGGCAGGGCAGCAGGAGCGCAGGCGGCAGCAGTAGCTTATCAGCAGCAGTAGCAGCAGCAGCAGCATGAGCAGCAGCAGCAGTAGTAGCAGCAGGGCGGCTCGGTGGGGCTGGCAAAGGAGGCAGGGCGGCGCGGCTCGGGATGGGCAGTGCGGCTCGGGCTGGGCGGCGCGGCTCGGCCTGGGCGGTGCGGCTCGGCAGGGCTGGGCGGCTCGGCTGGGCAAGGCAGGGCGCGCTGGGCAGCAGGGCGCGCTGGGCGCGCGCTGGACAGGGCAGCTGGGCGCGCGCTGGGCAGGGCAGCAGGACGCGACGCGCTGGGCTGCAGCAGGGTGCGACGCGCGGGGCAGCAGGGTGCGACGCGCGGGCTGCAGGGTGCGACGCGCGGGCTGCAGCAGGGCGCAACGTGCAGGGCAGCGGGGCGCACGCTGGGCAGGGCAGCAGGGCGCAACGCGCTGGGCTGCAGGGCAGGGCGGCGCGCGGGCCTAAGGGCAGGGCAGCGCGATGCACGGGCTGCAGGGCAGCTGGGCGCGAGCTGCAGGGCAGGGCGGCGTGCGCTGGGCAGGGCAGCGCTCAGGCTGCAGCTGGGCGCGACGCGCAGGCAGCAGTGGGGCGCGACGCGCGGGCTGCAGAAGGGGAGCGCTCTAGGGCAGGCAGCGCGCGTGGCAGCAGGGCAGCGCGACACTGTGCGAGCAGGGCAGGACAGCGCAAGGGCGCTTCGGGCAGGAACGAGCGGAACTATCGGTGGGCCCAAAAAACAGACAGGTTTCCTGCTCTGAAACCATGTCAGAATAATCTGTGCAGGAATAGTGAATGACTAGCAAGAGTGAGATACAAGTAGTAAACCCTAACTGGGGTTGTACTCTATACTGAGCACCTCACTGTAGCCTAGCAGAACTAGGAACATACAAATATGTTTGACACCTGCTCCTGCTCCTGCTCCTGCTCCTGCTCCTGCTCCTGCTCCTGCTCCTGCTCCTGCTCCTGCTCCTGCTCCTGCTCTTGCTCCTGCTCCTGCTCCTGCTCCTGCTCCTGCTCCTGCTCCTGCTCCTGCTCCTGCTCCTGCTCCTGCTCCTGCTCCTGCTCCTGCTCCTACTGCTGCTGTTGCTGCTACTTCTCCTGCTTCTCCTGCTTCTCCTGCTGCTGCTCCTGCTGCTCCTGCTTCTGCTGCTTCTGCTGCTGCTTCTGCTGCCACTGCCAATACTTCTTCTGCCACTGCTGCTGCTGGTGCTGGTTCAGCTGCCAGAGTTGCAGCTCAAATCGTCACCAATTTTTGAAACGACTGAGAAACACGGGTGGCAATTTCATATCCAGAGCCCCCATTGCAGTATTTTTTATGCTGCAACAATTACCAGAGTTTCCACCAATCCAAGACAACTGGAGCTGTTCCTGCTGCAGATCCCACCACTTCTGCATCTTCACTGCAATCAGATCCAGAGCCCCCCATTGCGGTATGTTTATGCTGCAACTGCTACCAGACTTTCCACCAATCCAAGACAGCACGAGTACTTGATGTTGCTGCTGCAGATCCCACCACTGCTGCTCCTTCACTGCAATGATGTGCTGGTTGGTATTTGCTGCAACTAATTGTAACGAAAAGGCAGTCTTCACTGTACACCTCGTCATGCGTGTACACCTCATGCGTTTTTTGGGTCCCACTTATACATGCATTGCACTGTTAATGAATCATTTGCACTAATTGAATCCACAACTTTGGTAATTATACGCAAATTTGGTCAACTGGCACAAGTAGGGCCGCATCAAAATGGCAAGCACTGTTTAGTTCATGAGCATTTGGTATAGTAATCAATGAACAACTTTTATTATATTTGTTACTCTACATCGACAAAAAAAACCAAGTACAACTAACAGGACTACCGATCACCCATATTTTACATATACCATCACAACAAAAAGCTGATAGTGTATCCCCCTTACTACTGTATCTACCATGTGCCACACCCATCCTCCATAAAGCCACTAATGCTCACAGTATCCCCTTCCGTCAGCAACGAAAACACATCATGGTGCTGTGTGTTGCCACTCCTGAGGGGCTTTAAAGGCCTTCACTTGCCAACCCCATCCCCATCTCCCATAAAGTCACTAATGCTCACAGTATCCCCTCCTCCCAGCAGCGCAAACACTTCATGGTGCTGCGGGTTGCCACAATCCCCTCCCACCGCTCCCAACATCTCCGAATCCATGCGAGATTCCGTAGCAGCAGCACAAAGGAAAGGACGTGCAGCAGCAAAACCAGCAGCACCAGCACCAGCACTGGCAGCATCAGCACCGGCAGCAGCACCTTCTGCACTCCTCCCAGCACCGGTGGCAAATGTGTTTTGAAATCCCTCTGCCTCTCCCTCTTCCCCTCTTCCACCCACGTCTCTAGTCGCTCGAGATGAAGCCACTGCTATAGCAAGAGCCGCTGCCACTGCAATCCTTGAAGAAATATCCCTCTTCGGACTGCTGCTCCCGGCATTACCATGACCATGCACTCCCTGGTTCTGCCCAGATGGAATCCCCAACTGCTGCTCCCTCCCGAGTACATCCGACTCACCTCCTACTCCTCTTCCCATGCCGTTTCCTGGGCCGCCTTGCCCAGGATTCCTGCCTCCTCCTCCTCCTCCTCCTCCTCCTCCTCCTCCTCCTCCTCCTCCTCCTCCTCCTCCTCCTCCTCCTCCTCCTCCTCCTCCTCCTCCTCCTCCTCCTCCTCCTGCTCCTCTGCCTCCTCCTCTTCCTCCCGCTGTGCTTCTCTGATGCTGCTCAATCTGCCTAAGAATCACACGAGCCAAGTCAACCACCTCTGGGTCCTCCGCTGCTGATCCCACATCCGGGAGCAAGTTAGCGTAACCGCCTGGGAGACCTGGTAACATGGGTAACATGGTAACCAGATCTTCTATGGACTGCCCGGAAGCCAGCTCCCTGCTCTCTGCTTCCTGCATGCCTCCTCCAGCAGCGAACTCCTCATGATCACGCTCGTTATAAGCACGTGCCCTAGAGAAACCAACCGAGGGGGTTCCTGCAGCCACGGATCCCACTCCTGCTGCTGAAGAGGCGGGAAGGGCCCTCCAAGCGTGGAAGGGAGTGTTAGGTGTGGCTGCAGAGGCAGCAGAGGAGAAAGCAGTTGATAAGGCGGCAGAGTGGGCGCGAGCGAGAGAGAGCAATCCACTCGCGTTTATAGGGTATTTGGTGGGGGGTCCCTCCGTTCCGTGGGGTAGAGTTGCAATTCCCCCACCAGCAGCAGCACCACCAGCAGCAGAGAAGGCAGCAGAGTGGACACGAGCAAGGGCGAGGGCTCCAATCATATCTGTAGGGTACCCATGGGAAGAACCCTCTGTCCCAGGGTGTACACTTGCAATTCCCCCAGCAGCAGTACCAGCAGCAGCAGCAGCAGCTGAGAGAGGGCCTGCAGTTGTTAGGTTCAAAGGTGAAGCGCTGGGAATAGGAATCTGAAGCCAGTGGGAAGGCTGGAAGGCAGAAGCAGCAAGCGAGGGGGGCGGGGGTGAGCAGGTCGGGGCAGAGGGAGCGTGAGGGACGTCTGGGAGAGGGATCATGTCGTTGAGAAGGCTCCCTAACTGTGTGGAGATCGGGTCTGCTGCTTGTGGGACGTGCACACTAGGGAAGCTCGCTCCATCCTGCATTCCATGACCCCCCTGCTCCTCCTGCTCCTCCTGCTCCTCCTGCTCCTCCTGTTGCTCCTGCTTCACCTGCTCCTGCTGCTTCTCCTGATCCTCCCCTCCCTCTAGCTCCTCCATTTCTCTCTCCTCCCGCTCGTCTCTCTCTCTTTGCTCTTCCTGGGCTGTCTGCGGTTCCTGGGAATTTAGGGCTTCTTGCATGTGTGAATCACTTAGCACTTGCACCACCTCTCCCAGTCCCTCTCCCTCCTTCTCTCCCCTCCTCTCTCCCTTGCTCTCTCGCTCCCTCTCTCCCTCCGACTCTCCCTCCCTCACCCCCTCTCTCACTCCCTGTAGCGGCCATCCCTCCTGCTGCTGCTGCTGCTGCTGCTCCCACGACGCCCATACCTCCTCCAAATGAATCCTAGCCTCTGTTGGGACACGTGGCGGCTCCTCACTGGTCAGCCACGCACTGTTGGCATCAATTCCCACGCTAGGAAGCACCGCGCTACCCCACCTCTCAAAAAGAGTTCCCTGCCTCCTCTGCTGCTGCCTCTGTTGCTGTTGCTGCTGCTGCTGCTGCTGCTGCTGCTGCTGCTGCTGTTCCAACTGCTCCTGCTGCTGCATAAGCTGCTGTTCCCCCTTTTGCTGCCCTTCTTGCTGCCCCTCTTGCTGCCCCTCCTGCTGCCTCTGTTGCAGATTCAGGTTGTGCAGCAAAGCAGCAGACATACTAATATCCTCCTCAACATCCTCCCTCTCCTCCATCCCAAGCCTATCCTTCCCCGATCCTGCCTCTTGCCAAAAAGGCCTTTCAGACGTTTCAAAACTCCCTTCAACCGCAGCCTGAGGCTCTGGAGTGTGCATGCGGCTCCTCTTGCCGCGCCGCCCCTCCTCTGAATCAGCCATCCCACCCCCAGCAGCCCAGAAATCCGCACTAGGGACACTCAATTCCATAGCGTGTGCCCCCCCTCCTGCTGCTGCTCCTGCTGCTGCTCCTGCTCCTCCCGCTTCTACCCCTGCAATCGCAGCAGCATCGGCAGCTATACCTGCCGCAGCCACACCAATCACCTCCTCTTCCACCAGCAACCCAGCCACACTCCTCTGAAACCTCTCCAACGCCTCTCCAGAACCCCCACTGCGCACCCTCGCGCTCCACCGTCCAGGAATCAATCTCCTCGCACTCCTCCTTCCACTCTCACTCCCAATCCTTCCTGCCCCCTGCAGGCTCGCCTTCCCAAACCCTGCCGTCTGCCCTTCCTCAGTAATCGTCTCACCTGCTGCTTGCACCTTCTGCTGCAGAACCTGCCAGGAACCATCATCAGATGCAGCCCTCCTCAGTCCCGACCTTCCCCTGGGATCATCCTGCCACGCCCATCCCTTCTCCTGCCCCTCCTCCTCCTGCTGCTGCTGCTGCTCCGGCTGTTGCTGCCGAGCCTGTCCGGGCAGGTTCGGCGCAGGCATGGCGTCTTCCGAGCCTGTGCTCGTGGGTGTGGCAGAGGCGGATGACAATGAAACGGAGCTGCTGCTGTTGTTACTGCCAGCCTTCGCTGTAGTTACCTGGTTACCACACGGAGAAACTCCAGAAAAACCAGCCATGTCACCCAGACTAGCAGATTTGTTTGCCAGGAACAAAGCACGGTGGTTACCAGCAGCACGGTTACCATCAGCAGTGGCAAGGAACATGCCAACACTAGCAAGGTTAGGTGCTCCCCATGTGTTGGTACCTGGAGAGGATGTAGAAGGGGAGGTACCGGGGGTTGTAGCAGCAGCTGTAGCAAAGGATGTAGCAGCAGCTGTAGCAACAGATGTAGCAGGGGCAGATGCGAAGGAAGTAGCAGGGGCTGTAGCAAAGGATGTAGCAGGGGCTGTTGCAAAGGATGTAGGAGCCCCTGCAGTAGGGGCTGTAGCAGGCGCTGCAGCAGGTGCGGATGTAGCAGGGATCTGGATAGCACCAGAGAAGCTCTTGCTGCTAGGGACGGCAGGTAAACCCTCCTGCCTTAAACCGTCCCCACTGCCCCTCCCCCTGCTGCTGCTGCTGCTAGAATCGCTACCCCTTACAGCTGGTGTTGCTGCGAGGGAAGGAGAGAGAGAACCGTATACAGGAAAAGAAAAGGATGAGGTGACAGCTTGGGAGGGGTTAGGGTTTCTAAACGGGGCTGATGTGTGCGGGTTTGTGGCTTCAACAGCAGCAACGGCAGCCGCAGCAGCGTTGACAGCAGCAGAAGCAGAAAAAAAGCCCCCGCTGCTGCCGCCGCCGCCGTTGCCGCCAAAGTCGCCACCAGCAGCAGCAGCGGCGGCAGCGGCGGCGGCAGAAACAGCAGCAGCAGCACCGAATTGTGAGCATTCAAAGGGCCGCTTTCGCACGTTGCTGGAACCGGGAACAACCACGTGCGATCCAAAAGGGTTTGTCCGGCTTCTTGAGTTATCTCCTGATGCTGCGAGGGCATCGGCAGGTAGGGATGACGCTGGTGCGGAGGTAGCAGAGGAGGGGGAGAGGGGTGCAGAGGCAAGGAGGCGACTCGACAAGGCGGCTCGGGGAGGAATGGAAGGCAGTGAGGGAGGAGACATGGGCATGCTAAAGGAGGGATTCGTTAGCTGAATTGCCTGTTGCTGTAATCTCTGCTGCTGCTGCTGCTGCTCTAACTGCTGCTTTAACTGGGACTGCAACTGCTGCTGCTGCTGTTGTTGCTGGCGCTGCTGTTGCTGCTGCTGCTGTTGCTGCTGGTAATGCTGCAACAGCACAGCAAGCTGCAAGTGTTGAAGCTGCACGTTACCAGATAAGCCCTGCCTCTCACTCATCGGTTGATCACTCACTGCCGTAGTTCCTAGCCGCTGCTGCTGCTGCTGCTGATGCTCCAGAAACATCCTTTCTCTTTCAGGGGCCCTTGTTGGTTTCCCCTGCATCGCCATCCTTGTTACAAACGGCTGCGGTTGTAGATTATTCGGCGCGAAAGCGCCTACACGGCCAGAAGCAAATGCCGAAGATTGGTGGATTGTGGCAGTTCCTGCATCAGCAGCAAGATCAGCTCTTGCACTCAGCGGCTCAAAAATCCCACTTTTGTAAACCCTCCCCCCGTGAACACTGCCGCTACCTTCGTGCGAAGACATCCGTTGATCCAAATCTGGCATTTCTGTGTTACCGGCACCTGCTGCAGTCCCAGCGGCAGCGGCAGAAGCGGCGGTGCGAGCGGAAGCAGCAGAGAGTAAAGCGGAGGTTTCAACAGCTGATGCAGCTGCTGCTGCTGCTGCATCTACCTCCTTACTAGTAATACTAGCAGCTGCTTTCCTCTGCTGCCCTGCCTCCTGTCCAGCCGTCTGAGACGATCCGCCTGAAATCACCTGTTGGCCGCCTTGGTGGTTGTGCTTATTGGTGTAAGAGACCTGCACGTTCTCGTCTGTTACCACTGCCTCTGGGTTGCGGTCGATGGTCTTTTTGGCCGGGCAGCCCGCTCCCTTACTAGTGTATCCACAGCGATAGTATGCCCTGTGTAAAAAATAAATAAAATACATAAAAAAGAGGAGGAAAATTAAACTCAAAACAAACTAACAAGGAACAAGACTGCGGCACTAATGAAAGTCAAGAACTATCAACAAGCAAAAACAAAGACCAATTTGTCAATGGAACTAAATTTCCGGCTCGATTTCCGCAAATGCCGTTTCAAGCTAAAGAAACTGAAAATGCCTACCACAGTTTGGAAGCAAAAAATGCAACTTGAAACCTTGATTCTCCGACACTTTCCAATTGACTTGCTTACCTGATAATTCCGGTTCTCATGAGAGGCTTCTCGCCGTACTTCAGCCAGTGATGACCATCCTTCGCCACGATTTCCACCAATTTTTGCCGATCGCGCCATTCCCTGATCGCCGTCGAGTCCGCCAATCCTTCTGCTGCCGGCGGCCCGGAGTCATCGTGATCGCTGGTATTGGAATTCATTTTCTATGAGTTTCTTAGAAGCGAAATTGTTGAAGTCAGGCTGAGATTCTGTGCTATCTCATAACAGTGTGCCGTCTGCTATGCTTAGCCAGTGTGCAAGTTCTATTCGGAGAAGCAACTGCTGGTAGTGCTAGCAGAAACGGTGAAGGTTGTGGAGAAAATGGAAGAAGGATGTGAGAAGTGAAACAAGAAAGCCAACCAACGCACTATTTGAGCATGAATCACTGAAGTGACCACTGAGGACGAAGGCGGTCCACTTCAGGGAAAATTTGTTTTGGCTGTAACGTGTGATCGAGCCTGTCTGTATGTGGTGGATGATATGGTGTTTTCGCCACTGTCGCCGCTAGCAGAGATGCACGGACAGTGCACAGTAAGTTAACGGCTGCCACGATTTTTCGGGCAGGTCACGCGGCAAATCTGGCGATTGCGTCCGTCATCTCTGGCTAATCCCCACGATTTCCTTCTCGCCTCGAGTCGGAATGCCAGGCTCACAGCTGGACACCTGCGGTTGGAGTTGTGGCCAATGGCAGCACGTACAGAAAACGACGCTGTCAGGGTCAACGAAAGCGACAAACAATTGAACGACTAGACGGGATAATCATCATTACCCTCGGCTAGGTTGCCGACGTTCAAACGGACAAAAGACGGACTGATTCACATGGCCGGCAAATTAGCCGATAACTGTCAGAAAACCGTCAAGAATAGCAGTGTCCTGGGAATCCGAACAGCTGCTGCCAGCAATAATATTGGGTTTTTAGTTTTCCCGGAAGGCATACTGTAGCTGTCTTTCTTTCGAAGGACTTTCATCTAAACCTGCGCGCACTCTCCGCTGATCCGCTTCTGAGACAGAAGAGTTATTGTGCTAACACAGAACTCGGCTTCTCCGCACGTCACGGAAGCACTGTTTTCATCGGCTGTCTTCTGCGAGCAAGCACAAAACTAAACCCCTCTCGGATGACAAGTTTTCAAGGGCATCAACCCTAAACACCACGCGAAAATGTGTTTAGGGTTGATGCCCTTCATTAACATGCCAGCCAAGAGGAATTTAGTTTCGGCATCAACCCTAAACACTTCATCGCAAGGTGTTTAGGGCTGATGCCCCTTATCACTTGCCTGCCGAGAGGGGTTTAGTTTAGTGCGGATAAAAAGCAAAATAGTGTTGCGCACCGTTTGCCCGAGTAGCAACAGAAATGGCTTCCGAGATGATGACACGTGGGTAAATTTGGAGACGAGTACTGTGTTGAGAAATATATTGCACTTGGTAGCGTCGGTAGCGCTCGGTAGCGCTTGGCAGTGCAATATAGAACCTGGGCAGTACAAAGTCTTCTGTCTGGGCCGCGAAACCTGGGAAACTGTGTGCAGGTAGAGACGAAGGTCACTAGAAAGCGCAGTTTCGGAAGTAGCTCTTCTGCCGTAACTAAAAACCCAATAATATTTTTTGGGCTTCAAAAGCTGTGACCGCAAATGGAATCATTTTATTTGTGAGGACGGCATCTTTACCTGTCATCCGTCTGTTTGCCATTCCTCCGCTAACGGCCGACAAGAAAACGCTAACACAACGTCTACCCGGACCGCTTGGAATGCGTGTGTGGGTGCAAATGGTGTGTATCTGTTGACCTGGGTGTCTTGGCACCATTCGAGAAGGACAAGCTGTCCCCGTTGATACCAGGGAAAACCTGCGCAGGGTGTTTGACCCTGCCTAAACTGCAAGTCGGAGAACGATGGAACAGGTTCGTTGAATTTTACGATGCATTTTCACCCCGACTTCAGCATATTGTGTCAAACTGTTACATGCAGAAGCGTTGTAAAAATGTGAAATTAGGTCCCTAAGATGAGTTCAGAATTGTTAGCGCAAAAAGTCAACGCTGCAGTGGAGGATGTCCAACAACACGCTCGACAAGAATGGGAGCTTGGTAACCTTACCCCGTCCTGGCTGGGCGGCACGCAAACCGAACCCTGAAGTCAAAGGGGGGCCGAAAACGAAAGGAGAGGCCAGTTGGCATAAAACCAGGGCTTTTGATTTGCTTTGGCCCACCGTGCCATTTCAGTGTTCTCCGCGGCCAGCCACCTGGCAGGGCAATTCGTCGATATATCGGGTTTGCAGGTCTAGTTGGAGGGTCTTTTGCAAACAGGGCCGCGTCAAGTTCAGCTGAATTCGCCCAAAAAGTCGTTCTAATCTCTCCTAAGTAATAGAGTACGTGTGGAACCAGTGGGGTGGTTCGTGAAATACAACTTCCGTGGCGAGGTGGAAGGTGAAACGAGTCGGATAGCGAGTGCCTGGAGTTTCTAGACAACTTGGCCAGGCACTCCCTAACTAACTTGTGGCCAAGTTGTCTTCTAGAAACTCCAAGGATTTGAAAAACAGGGTTACACTGACACTGTTCCTCTTTGACAAACTTGCCGCTTGATGTAAGGAATTCTCCTAATTCCTTACTGAGGCACTCTGTACGCGTACAATTCCAACTTTTCAGAGTTCAGGCTCGGTCCGACGACCTCCCCTTCGGAACGTTCCTCTCGTCGCCTTCGGGTTTCCCAAACCCCAAACCTGCACCCAACCATCTCGCGACTCCGTGACCTCGGCCTAGCTAGCACTGCTATATGAGTCCTAGGCCTTGTTTGCTCACTAGTTGTAATCACTTCCGCGATATTGCATTCTGCGCAGTCTTCTTTCGTACAACTCATAACACTTACAATCCGATCGCCACATTCGTAACAATCTTGTAACCAAATCAAATATGGCACACTGTAAGGAAAAAATAATCATATGAACATGACGAGAATGAGGGTTATTTGTTAAGTAACAGATGCTCTTGAAACTACGTTATTCTTATGAGAACGTGTAGCCTCTCTTTTAGGTGTTGTTGGCTCTGTCTTACCGTATCACCCCGGATTGTAGCGCAAATGCGCTTATAATAAAATCAAGTTTTTTAGGGGGGGCGCTTGTAAATGAGTAAAGGGCATAAGCGCATGCGCGTATATAAAGGGAAAAAAAATCGGATTTAAAGGGCACCAAATCGAAGCCCACATTAAGGCGAACACGAATGTGAAACGTTCTCGAGGGTTCGTGCATGAAAAACAGGCGAAAACAACAGAAACTCGATTTCCCACTGCACAAAACCCGTCCCGAAGCAACGCATCTGCCAGGGACGCGTAACCTGCCGTGCGGCCCAATCACCTTCGCATGCGTTGCGAACCAGGAGCATCTCGTCCGACCCTTCTAGAAAGGGCACGAATATGCCTTGCCAACGCAGCATGTGATGTGCCGCAAACCCTCCTCTGCAGGTTCAGGCAGGGGGTCACCGTCTCACATCGACGAGGACCCCGAGCCGCTCCCTCGAAGGGGTCCCCTCATAAGTCCATTTCTCTTCTCCCATTCTTGCACTTTTTGATTCGTTTTCCTGTTTCGCCCGCCAGGCTGCGGAAGCCATGGCGGAATTCTCTGGCACCCACTTTCTCTTCAAGAAGATGCCTAGTCCCGCCTATCGAGTTACCGAGGACGGCTGGTATTGCCGTGTCCCACCGGAGCCCCCAGTGCCACCACAACCTTCCGAGCCATCTGCGCCGCCATCTCCTCCAGCGCCTCCTGCGCCGCCTGCTCCTCCTGCTCCTCCATATCCCCTCGTGCTCGCGCTCCTGAACCCGTCGGCGTTCGACGAGTACCTCTCTGAACCTGAACGCAACAAGGCCCCAGATGAGTATGTAGAAGTGCCGGCGCCAGCACCACGCTGGGGCGAGCCAGAAGGGTGCACGTGGGACGAGTCTGATGTGGGCGCTGACGACGACGTGGCGGACTCCGAAGAGGAGTGTCCCGCTGGCACGGAGGCAGGCACCGCGGAATATGTCTTTCCCGAGGGCGCCCCGGGTGGCGACGACGACGACGGCGTAGAGTATGGTCGCGCGACGGTCTCCCCGAAAAAGTACCGATTCTGTCGTTTCCGCCGATTAATCGCAAGCGTCCCCACCCTGCTTCAGTGAACCGCGATGCCCTCCCTGTCAAACTAACGAACAAGAATGAATGAACTATGAAAGAGTTGGGTACAAGTACTAACCCTAATTGAGTTGTACCCCTTATGGGCTACCCCACTATAGCCTACACAATTGTAATCACTATATCATTCGGACACACCCCCATAGGCAAAATGGGGGAGAACAAGTGGTCACAAGACCAGTCAAGAAACGCAAATCAAGCTCAGGGTGGATCACAAAGTCACCACACAATCCGAGCACAAGCAAAGGGCCACAAGGCCAGTTCACATGCAGAGTTATATAAAAGAGAACAAACAATACAGTGATCATACCCTAGCAAGAGTAGGTATGCAAATATATGTATATATCACAGTACAAGCACAGTCACGCAGTGAGCAAGTGAGGCAAAGTAGGCACAAGGCCTAACACAGTAGAGAAGCACTGATGATCAGCAGGCGGAAGTGCCTTGGTGAATATATCAGTAGTGTTGGCTCTAGTGGCCACGTACGCAAGACGAAGCTGGCCACGCTGCTGCAACTCTCGAGCAAGGAAGTAACGCAGAGCGATGTGCTACATTCTGTGCTCCAGTCTGTGCTCCTGACACAAGGCAATCATGGCCTCGTTGTCTACGTACAAAACCGGAGGCGAACGAGGCTGCTCTCCCAAGTCAGTCAGCAGGTAGGTGAGCCAGCGTAGCTCCTGTGTAGCCATGGCCCCGGCGTAGATCTCAACCTCACAACTGGAGCTGAGAACCGAAGACGAGCGGGTAGACCGCCAGGGAACAGAGCCGGAACCGAGGCTGAAGGTGTAACCCTGTGACGACCGCTGCGTAGCTGAGTCGTCAACCCAAGAAGCGTCTGCGTGACCAGTAAGGACAACTGAACCCCGTCCTCCAAGCACGAGCCCCATGCCCGACGTACTGCACAAGTAACGCAGTACCCTCTTTGCAGCATCCCAGTGCATCTTTCGGTGCCTACCGGGAGCCACGTAGCGAGCCAGGAGGCTGAGAGGGTACGCGAGGTCAGGTCGTGTGC